CTCTCACCCATCCCAACCTCTGGCATTTTTGCTCATCCGTGGATGGCTGAATATTCATTTCCTCCTTGCCTGATTGCTGTGAATACCAATTCCTCCTCCTTTTTCCGGCTGCTCTGTAGATTTTGATGTCTGCCAAATTGTTTTCATTCCCTCACCCCATTGTGGGCTGCACCTCCGCAGAAACCGATCTGCTCCGTGCAGAGCCCCAGCTCCCCACCCAGCTCTTCCTTCTGAGCTGAGCGATCGGGTTGCCCTCCTGCCTCTGACACGGACAGACAGCTTCCTCCTCCTGCAAACAGCCAACAAACGAGTGTCTCCAGTTCAACAGGCAGAATAGTTACAGGCTCCTGCAAGGAGACTGCAGTAGTTTGCGGTGGTACTGCGTGTTTCAGTGCAATGTTTCTCAGCTTGCCAGTCTGAGGATTGGTGCCAGGTTGCAGAGCCTGTCCAAAGCAGCAAGCTCCTGGCTCCTAGCTGAAGCAGGGTTTTCTCAGGCTCGAGGTATGATCAGAAAGGCCTGATGGAAGTGCCTGCATCTGTGCTGAGCAGCTCGGTCATAAACCCTGGCCTGGAGCCTGCGGCAGGTTGAAGCTAAGCGAAGAAGGGAATGTGGTGGAGAGAGGAGGTTGGAGTTCCCTCATCCCCTGGGAAATCTATGTGCAATGGCAGCAGCGTGGCAAGGTTGAAGGGGAGAGAGCTGCAGACACCTGGTAGCTCTCAGATCTGGATTTGGTGTTTTTGGATGTCTTCTCTTGCCAACCAAAGGAAGAAAGGGACACCAGTCTTCCCTTTCTCTTTCTGTCTCTTTCAAGCCCTGCTTCTGTGTTACCAAAATGGAGCCCAGAGGCTTCCACTTGCCAAACAGCCCATGGCATCCGGGCAGTCACTCGCTCCCCACTGAAGTTACTGGCACCAAGGAGCTGGTGGGCATGGGAGGTGGCTTCCTGCATGGAAGTCGGACAGCCTGGCTGCCCCTCTTCCAGATGTGAGCTGGAGGGGACAGCAGAGAGCTGTGGGGCTGGGCACTCAGTGCTGTCAGTGTTTGGTGCTGGAGCAGTCCCTCCTCTGGGAGTGAGCACGGAGCTCATGGCTGGGGAGGACAGGGAAAGGGAAAGGTGGGAAAGGGGGCACGGGGATGGTGGTTGCTTCAGGATGGAAAGCAATGCCAGAGACAGAGGAAAGGGTGGAGCAAAGGAAGGAAAGGAGGAGCAGAGGGGAAGAAACAAACCTGTAGGCTGAAATGGGAATAATCAGCTGGATAGTGCTGCAACCTAACTCCTAGGAAGGCCGCTCCAACTCCCCCTCACCGCATGGGGATGTTTGCCTGGTCCCGCACTGCCGTCTCTGCTCCTGTGCCAAGCCAGCTGGCCTGCCTGGAGCTCTGGCCTTTATGACTGTTGTGAAGAGAGGCAGGACGTGTTTGCTTTTGGCTATCACGTGCTTTTTTAAAGAGGGTGGGAGTTCCTTCCCTTGAGTTCTCAGGGCTGGTTTCCCCTAGTGTTTCTGGTTTGTGTGACTTAGGGGGCTCCATGGAGCCAGGGTCATGGCCTCAGCTGGGAATTCTGACCCGTCGGCAGCCGCTTTCCTGGGCTACTTAGTGCTTGCCAGCCTGGCCTTGAGATGAGCCAAAAGCTTTCCAGCACAGGCACGCAGGATGGGCACGTGCAATACAACGTGGAGGTGCCTAGGGCGGGCACCTCTGGGAGCACCACCTGTACCCAGCATCTGGTTCATCTGAACCATGTGCTGCACTGGGGTCAGAGCCCTCCCCGTGCCCAGAGCACTGGCTCTGTATGGGTCTCAGGCTCTCCCTGCACTGCTGTTTCCTGATTAAACTGTGAGCCTAACTTCAATGGATCAGATGAAAGCGGCTCTCTGTCTCCCACTGTCTCTCCAACAGTTGTTATCTTGACCCCTTTTCTTCCTTCCCCACTCAGTCTGTCTAAAGCCGAGCCTCTAATTTTAGACTGAGGAAGATAATTGAGGGTCAAAAAAGATTGCTGTATAATTTTAACATTTTTTTGCAGTGGTTGGGGTGGGAGGCAAAGTTAGGAGCTCCTTGCCCTCAAACCTTTGTATTACGGGAAAGAAGGACATGGGGAAAGGAGTGAGCTGGTACAGTGTGCTCTCTGCAGAAGTCATTCTGTTTCTTGGCAATTAGCTAAAACTAGGAGCGTAAAGGCATAAACTACTGTATTTCCTTTGCAGATCTTATTGACCGAAGAGTTTGTAGAGAGAATGCTGGAAGATTTAGAAGATCTGAATTCTCCAGAGGAAGTAAGGCTGCGTCATTCCGGTATCTCCCATGTACTGTCCCAGACAGCTCAGCCCGTCCTGCAGCTTGCCTTTGATCCTCCCCTCAGCTCACAGGCTGCAGCCCTGCCCCACAGACTTGAGGCCTTGCTAAACCTTCACATCTGCAGTGAACTAAGGCACTGAGAGAAGGGATTGCAAGAAATATAGGGCAGGGGTGGGTGTTAAGGGAGACTCTGCATTTCCTTTCTGCCAGCATCTTTCCCAACATGGTATCTGAGCGCCCCGAATCAAAGCGGTGCAGCCCCTGGGCCAGGTGACGGGGTTTCCTCCATGCCATACATAGTGTCCTCAGCAGCAGCTCCAGGCACATCACCTTCCCCCCCTTTCAGAAAGGCTGAAAGCTGTGGCAGCACCTTTACTGCTGAACAATCTGTTGTAGGGGCCTTCTTTTTTGGGTTTGGGGAGCAGACGGGGGCTCTTTCACATCTGCAACTTGGCCTTCACCTGGTGCCCCTGCACGGCATGCAGAGGACCATCACCAGCCTGGAAGCGTTATAGCAACAGCCAAGGGAGCTTTATAAAGCTTTGCTGTGCGGTGCTAAACTTCCCCCTGCCATGTGATCTCTTCCTGGGGAACATTTAACACCCTGTCTCCCATGCATGCCATATAAATATTCTGCTTGACTTCAAAGAGCAGTGGCAGAAATGACATGTAATATTTTTAATCCCATTTTTTACAGCTCCCTGCAGACTCTAAAGAAACTTTCCTTGGCTTGTAGAGCAGGCCTCCCATCCCTTGCCCTGCTCCCCTCCCCCCAGGAAAATCTCAGGGCTCTAATTGTTTAATCCAGAGTTGATTTAATGCCAGGGTGTTCTTCACTGTGTGAGTGAGGGGAGCACGCTGCTGGCTGTGCAGTGACTTTCAGGCCAGCTTTTATCCCGTTAAACCTAATCCAAAGCTCATTTTCGCTAGTGACATGGAAGCCCAGGAGCACTGTGGTTTGAAGGCCCTTTAGTTAAGGCTTTGGATGGCTCATGTTCCTTCACTCTCTGCTGAGAGGCAGAGGCAGTGGGCATGGCAGCTCCTGGCACAGCGAGCGGGTGCTCGGTTCCGAGTTACTGTGACTTTGCTAAATTAAAAAGTGAAAAACTAAAAAGTGAAAAACAAACAAATGCAAAGGATGAGTTCTCCAAGAGGATTGCTTTGGAACCTCTCCTGTTTATAAAAAGGAAAATACTTGAGATGAAATGTGATCTTTCAGCATCCAAATTCCTCCACGGATTTGTAACTTGCAGGATCCCAGTTTAGGCCAACTGAAGGCGTTCCTCAGCAGCCCTGCCTGTTGCTGATGATATTCATGTGGTAGAACGAAGCGCTGCAAGAAGAGTCTTTCCTTTGCTACATAAAGAGCCACCTGTGTTAAGTGAAATTAAGTGAAATGATCTGTCTGAGTATCTTTAGCATGTTTTTCACATACCATAGACATTGAACTCGGAAGAATCCCCTGGGCAGTGTAGGGCCACTAGATTATATGGTGCAAGATACACGCAGAGCTTGAGTTTAAAAAAAACAACCACAAGTGGGACTTGGGCTGTTTATGTTTCCTAGAGGAGAAAGAGTGGGAGTTTATGGTAGCCACTGTCCTGAACGATCCTCCTGCCATGCCCTGAGATCATGGGTCAGACCCTGAATGACCAGCCTGGCATACTAAGGTCAATGGGTACCAACTGCAGGTTACCCTCATACACAGCTGCAAATGGAGCAAGGTCAGGAGCAAATTCATGTTAGAGCCACCCTTGCTGTGAAGCAGGCAGCTGGAGGGGATCTCCTTTAGCAGGAACCTGCCACTGAGCGTATGTTAACGTCCTTCAGAAATGGGGCACTTACGGGAAGACAGACAAGTAGTTGGATAAAGACGAATGATTTGCAGGTCACCGTCCCCTTACACCAACTCTCTAATTCATGCAGCCCCTGCTTACGGCACTGCTGGCCTTGGTCTGAGGACTATCCTAGGAGAGGACCGCTGTATCTGTAACCATTCTGAATTGTCACTGATGGTGTGGGATCCTAGTGAGATTTCTCCCTGGGAGTCCTGTTGGGGTGTCAGGTGGTGCTACACCATGGGTGCAGCAGAGTTTTAAAAACAAAATCAAGTTTTAAAAACAGCCATCCAGCTGTGGGGCAGATTTGTAGCCTAAGAGATTCCACCTCCCACCCCCACGCTCTCCCCCAACCTGTTTTTGAGAGATCTGTGTGAATGCGTGGGCCCTGGTCAAAGGTGGTTGTGAGAAGGGTTGACGGTAAGGCTCCTTGGACCTCCATCCCCACACGGTCATGATTGGGATCAGAGATGTTGGGGTGACTTCCCAGCCTAAGGCGGGGTGCCCTGGAGCAACATCAGGACAGGACCAGTGCACTTGCCTTGTTTGGGAAACATTGGCCAGAGACCGTGCTGTGTAAACCAGACTGGGGCAAAAAATCTCGCTTCCCTGTGCTTCGATCAATGTTTGCAAAACAGCCTGAGCAGCCGAGTGCCTGTGTGAATATGAGGCATTGTACAGGCACTCTGCGAAGCCTTTGTGCCAGAGGTGGGTAGGGCTGGAGCAGAAATGCTGTTAGGCACGCTGGCTCTCCCCAGCCAGGGCGGCACAGTTTGCCCTCCCAGAGGTGATGGCCATTTGCAAACCTGTCACCCAGCAGAGCCGTGCTAGCTCACTTAAATCCCACCCTGTATGAGCAAGAGTTTGAAAGCTGCCGTAAGTCTCCCTTTAAAGCAAACGGTGGGCTCTGGGGGCCAGGGTAGGTGAAAGGAAAGGGGCATGGTCAGGTAGGAGGGAAGATATTTGTGCTGTGAATTTTCAGAGGGGTCGGGGAGGAGGAATGGTGATGGGAGCAGAAACCCTCCAGAATCCATTTGATGAAATAAACAGTGCTTGGGCTGAAATCTCAGAACTTTACTTTGGCAGCTGAGGCACAGGCCACATTATCTAATGTCCACTGCTGTCCAAAACATACTGATGGGGAAATGTTTTCTTAGTGGCCTCTTGTTTTAAAAAATAATAATAATATAGGGCTGCCTGCCTGTACAGTGATTTTGGTTTTTTCTGTGCAGGTTGCAGTGATATACATTCACTGATTCTCTTTACTGTCTTACAGTTTAAACTTCCAAAGGAGTACAGCTGGCCTGAAAAGAAACTGAAAGTTTCCATCTTGCCAGATGCCGTGTTCGACAACCCACTGCATTAGAGCTGAATTACACCCTTCTAACAACTGGGAGAGCCAAGTTACTGTCCATTACCCAGTGACTCACAGGATAATTAATGCAGTAAAAACTCTGCCTGCAAATAAAAGAGTTTGCTGCACAACCACTGCAAACAGAAGAGGAGCTACTCAGCACCAGCCTAGACCGAACTGAGCCCTTTCCTTTATCCTTCCCAAGGCTGAGCTCTCTGGGAACAGCCTGCGTATGTGTGAGTGCGAGTGAGAAATATTTAACTATGAAAATTAGTAGTAAGAATCCTTCTCTCTCCTAGCTACAGAACTTCCCTCTGCCTTAGCCCAGGGTGTAGACGCTCTGCACGCCTGTATTTACACATGCATTTCTGCCAGGTGCGAGCCTATAATCCATGGATTAAATGTTCTTTACGTGACTCTGGAGTCCTTTTGTTAGCCAAACTTTTACTGACTGCAGAACTGTTCTTCCATGTGCTATTTTTTTTTTCTTTTCAGAAACAGAATGGTATTTCCCCTGTTTAAAGGAGGCCAAAAGCTCACATGCTTGAAGCTGAACAGATTTAAAGATGAACTTTCTAGTTCAGTCAAGAAAAACAAACCCAGATCCTCCCTGCCCTCAAATTAGGCATGTTTTAAGTGTTGGTCTTGGTGCTATTAGCTATGGTATCGCTGCAAAACAGAGGCAACTTTATTCTCGCGCATCCTGTCCTTGTGCCTGAACCCCAGGGAAGGTCGCAACCTCTGGTTTTGCACAAGCAGGAGGAAGAAAGCTACCGGGGCGGGGGAGATCTCCTGTTTACAGTGTGTTTATCTTTAAAGAGATACTGTCAAGTATTTTTTCCTCACTATTGTACAGAATTTGAGAAGCGAGAAAGAACCATTTGTTCACAGGGACAACTTCAGCAGTTCTGCAGGATCCAGAGGGCTGCTTGAAAGCATATGAAATGGAGATCGCCACCCTGGCGTAGCAGAGAGGAGACTCAGCCTCAATAAAGCCAACGATTCTCCCTGTTCCAGCAGGGTTGTGTCCTAGCGCAGCTCCATTTTCCCCTCTAGCCTCGCTGTGGTGGCTCTTCTTGTTGCTGACGTCCCTCCTTTCAGATAGATTTGAACTGTAAAGCATCAAAATCAGTTTGAAAAGACCCTCTCTCTAGATCCCTGTGGCTTCCTCCTTGGAGCAGACATGGCGTACAGAGGAGACAGGGTCAGGCTGTGTCTCTGCGTGGAGACGCTGGCCCCTGTGGATATGCTGCAGCAAACCACCGCAGGCTTTCCCCCCTGCTGCTGTTGCAGGTTGTTTCTGATGCCTATTCCCCAGCCTTCCTCTGCCCTTTGTCTTTTGGTGACAACTCTTCTCTCCTTGTCAGGGGAGGTGCAGCTTTCCTTCCACCCCTTTCTGCCTACAAGCTAACTTGGTGATTTATGCGCAATTGCTGTGTGATCCTAATACAAGTATAACAAAAGCTTTTAACACTTAACTCCCCTGATCAAACAGCAAAGTCCAGGAGGCCTCACAGTACCCCAGGGTTGGTTTTCTGTTTGTTTTCTGATTTGATTCCTTCCTGGCACAGTCAGCTTTGATATTTTTTGCATATATTTGGGGCTGGTTAATGTTGGTCAAGAAGCAAAGCTAGGAGCCACAAAGCTTTCCTTGAACTTGCTACAGAATTCCTCTGTGGCCTCAGGCAAGTCACTCAATGTCTCTCTGTGCAGAGAGGGTGATTATTGACTAGAGGGCTGTAGGACCTACCGAAGCATGCCAGGGTTTGCAGGGGAGGGCGTGCTTTGTGTACAAAGTAGTATTTGTATTATTATAATTGTTGTTATATTATAATTTAAGGCAGGCCAAATGCAGGGTCCAACACTGCTCGGCAGAACCTTCCTTTCTGCAAAGCTACGAAAGCAATTTACATGTAAATGAGTTTGTCATTTTGTCTGAACTCAGAGGATCATCTTAAAATCCTGCTGCGAAAGAACAAACTTTCAGATATCTGCATGTGCCAGCCAGAGTGATTTCTGTGCTGTGGCAGACTGCATTCATCCGTGGGATCTCTTGGCCAGTTTTCATTGTCCTGGTTAGCACTAAGCATCCCTTCTGCACTGTAGATGTATATGCAGGGGACAGCGTGGGCGAGAAAACGGCATGATAATGTACCAGTCCAGCTTCAAAAATGAAGTGCCCAAGTGTCCCACCGCAAGATAATGAACAAACAGACAATTGTGACAGTCAGGAAAAAGGCAAGGGCAGCAACTACAATTTTGTCCCAAAGCCATCCGCCAACAGTAGCCCACGGACTGCTCTTGTATGAGCTTGCTGGGGGTGCCTGCAGCAGAGCTGGCCTGTTGCCACGATGCTGGCTGCTCTTCCTTGTTTCCAGATGCTAGCTCTCATTAAAAGGAGCTTAAAATCCACATCTTAGTGGAGAAGGGACATTTGGAAGGTCAATTGTTGCTGTTCCTGCAGAGATCAGCACGGGGCAGAGAGAAGTCCATCAGACCCGCTCTGGGCTCTGACACACATCTGGAAAGCTTAGGACCTCCTGCCCTATGAACTCTTTGAGCCTTTGCAGCAGGGATGCGGTGCTGTACGCAGGGAAAGCACCTCCTCCAAGCTGGCTTGTGCTCCAGTTCTGCCTTTCTTATGTGTATGTTTTCCTCACCGTATTTACTCTCATCAGACGCTCTGGGCTGGGTTTTCATTGACTTCAGAGGGAGCACGCTGAATGCATTTGAAAATCCACCCAGTATCCTTGTGTGTGTGTATTTTTGTTCCATGTCATGTATTTATATATAGTTCTGTGTATTTGAGTTATGAACAGGTGGCATGCCAGAAATCTCTGTTTCTGAGACACTTTCTCATAGATCTTTGCTGGTAGCCAGATAACAATTATGGGGAAGGTTTGAAGGGAAGGAAGTGAAATCTTCCTATTTAGTTAAGGGGAAAAATATTAGACAAATAACTGCTAAAATAGAAATCTCTGTCTTATTGTTAGACCAACTGTAAGAGAGAAACTGGTGAAAGTCAGCCCTTAAGCTCCAAGGTCGTGTCGCTGCCTTTCAACAGTTATCTAAGAATAAGAAAGTTGCATGTTACTCAGTATCGTGAAGAGCTGTGCACCCACAGGATCTCCCCTCCCTCCCCTGATTCACATCAAGTTTGCAACCGTGCCAAAGGCTTACTCATTGGCAAGTAAATGAGATCTCGAGTTTGGATATTTTCATCTTGGGGAAAGAGGACATGCCTGTGTGTGAAGGAAATGGAAAAGAAACCTTTGTATTTTAGTGAGCAAGTAGTTAGAAAAAGGGAAATGCATCAGTGTTAATAAACGCCGTGGTATTTTTCTAGCCCAAACCTGCTGAGATGGTAGGTCCACTGGTGCTGATTTTTTCTAGATTGTGTAGAAGGTTTGAAGCAGGATTGTATGAAACCAAAACCTGTGAGGTTTGTGTTGGCTGAAGATAGTGATCTGGATGGAAATGAACGCAGTTTAGAAGCAGTGAGTACAGGTTTTCTCCCTCCCGGAGAAATCTTGCGATGCACGTCAATAGGGATATTTCCAAAGATGAAGAACCTTATGGCACACCCGCAATGCCTTGAAAATCCAACATGTGACAGCAATTCTGAAACAAGAGAAGTCCCAAAATCAAGGACTACTCTCCCTCTCAACTCATGATTAAAAACAGGAGAAGGAATGTATAGTTTCAATATTAAAATATGTGGGATACAATCTGAGCAGAGCAGTTAGTCTTGTAGCTGATGTGACCTACAGTGATATTTTCAGTGGCTTAGATAGGTGGTGCCTGCTGTGTATAATGTCTTTGAGGATGGTGATGTATTGGTTTTACTGTACATAGATTTGCCAACAGTGATTTGAAATGATATTCTGAAGCTCTTCAAATATTCAGTTGCTCTTGGATGGCTTTTGAAATGACACCATCGGGTCATCAAACGGTCTTTGAAGAAGTGGGGGTTGTAGTGTTTTTCATCTGCAACCAGTAGAAATATTTAGGGGGTGTAGCTTTTAAAAAAAACCAGTTGAAAGCGATGCTTGGCTTGGAGGGGGCAGATTGCTGGGGAGAGGTTGTGTGGTGGGGGAGCGGGTTAGCAGCCTCCCTCCTGCACCCACAGCTCGGGCTTCAAGGCAGCACAGTCCTTGTGCATCTCGGGTGCTGCAAGGCAAGCTAACGTGGGTGCAGGGAAGCTAGAAACCAAAGTGAGAATCATCAAGGCCTTGGCACAGCATGGGGTCCCTGCAGACAAGTCCTCATTTCCATGCCAGGACCCGCTGAGCTCCTGCACGGGTGCAAGCAGCCAGCCACGCGCATCCCACTGCGTGTTCACACTCTGGCCTGTACCCGCCGCTGATGGTAGAGACTGCACATGGCTGTGTGAGCTGCATCTGAGGTTAAGTCAAAGATGGGAAGCGGCAGTGTGGCTGCTTCAGTCTCATTTGTTATTTTAATTAGCGTGGGGTGGGGAGTGGAGCTCGTGCTCTGCTGCCCTTCGTGAGAACCTCCAGGCTGGTCACTGAGCAAGCCTTATTGCTCACCCATCGTCTGTTCCCTTCGTCAAATGTCCCCCCAGCTCCTCACAAGAACCTTTCTCAGATGCTTCACTGGAAAATGTCTGACTGCATGCTTCGCAGGACGCTGTGTTAGACGACAGGTCAGCATGGGATCATGGCTGCTCGGCTGTTTATCTGTCCTGATGACTACTCCCTCCTCCTAGGTAGGCATCTAGAGTCCATGACCCACTTTGCCGGCCTGTGTCTGGCTGGGGCAAGGCAGCGTCATGTCAGGTGGGGAGAAGAGATCCGCAGATCTTCAGGCCAGAGGAAACCCTTAGACCCATGTGTCTGATTTTCCCCTAGCCCAGGTCATGGCCTTGTACCCTGTGGCTCTGCTGTATCAAGTCTTGGGCTTCAGACCCTGTGCTGTCGCAGCCCCGTGAGGAGGGGGTCCCGCACCATGAGAGCCCTTCCACCTCCCAGGGACTTGATCCTCTGCAAAACTGCCCTCTCTTTAGAGTATATATTGTGCCTTAATTCTCCCTGTGAGTGAAGCTGCAAGGGTAGATGAATTGTTGAGCAACTAGGAATCCCTTTCTGTGCATCTGTCTCTATTGATAAATGCCAGCCTGCACAGCAGCCAGACTGTATCCAAAACAGTCTTGAAATGCACGTTTGTCGGTGGGGTTCGCCTCCCGAGATTTTAAAGCTGGATTTAGGTCTCTGGGACCGTGTCAGTTTTTAACGAGCTCTGTAGCAACCTACTATTTTTATAACATTTTTTCTGTTGTGCAAGTGTCTGCTTGTTCTCTTTTCTTTTAAAAAAAAAACCTTGTGTTCGACATGAGTCCTAAATTTCAAATGGAGAATAAGCCTGAGGTTGCAAATGTGTTTTAAACCTGGCCCTG